AGTACAGGGTACCTCATCATTATGGATCTCTGGCCCCCCGAAAACCTAGTCTGGCCCCCCCCAAAAAAAAATCCTGGGAACGCCCCTGCCTACTCGGTTTTCAATTCTGTCCCCCGTCTTCGCTCAAGTTATGAGATCGTCCCGACTGAGAGCAGCGATGGATATGAGCTGTATACAATTTTTGAGTTCAGGGTACCGACTGAGGAAAAAATTCAAACAACGAAATTACCCTTAGTTTTGAACTGAAGTCTCCGTTCCGTTCACTACGGCCATGGCGCAGTCAAAACCCCGCGCTACGAGGATGTGTGAGGAGAAAGACTATCGGGTCAACCTTGACTTGGAAAAGCACTCGTACCCCCGATTCCATCTGGGAACCTTCCTTCTGTACTTTTACATCTACTTAGTCGTTTCGCTCATCGCAAGCTTCTTCGTGATCCAGGAGTTCCGCTGACTCAGCGAGGGCGATGTAACAGCTTCTTCCGATTCGGTGGTTTTGAGGGACTTCGAAATAAACGTTCCGAGAAAGATCCATACTTTTGCTGGTGATACGTGACGCTGATGAGTCATTTTAGCGTGCAAACACAAAACTCGATTTGAAGCCCTGGCAGTAGAATTAACTACCTGCATCCAATCATATTTCTGTCCTCCCGTGCATATGAGGCTCAGCCCTACAGATGAGACTCCGACGTCTAACGATGAGACTCCGACGTCTAACGATGAGACTCCGGCTCCCTCTCGATGTCCCATGAGCATCTGGTCCGTGGATTGATGCGAACTACCCATAACGATTTCTGTTTTATCGCTAACAACAACCTTTAACAGATCATCAAAACCACCAAAGCATTTGATGGCCTGTTCAACGCCGACGAGCTCAGCTCTGAGAATGTCAAGGTGAGCTTCTCAACGACTCGGGACAGAACGCTCCAAGCGCATAGACCCCTTCAACCTCGACTAATCTTGAGCGATTATTTTTTGTTCCAGGAGAAGGAGGCGAAAGTTTGCTTCTTGCAAAAAATCATAGATGCCGTAGGTGAGATATTTACGGAGTGCTCGACAACACGCATGCCGCTCGTCGCTTTCTTTTCCGTCAGCTTCTGATCGGGGGGAAGTCTTTCGATCAAAACGTCTTCTCAGGTTTCGCGAGCGGTTCCGCGCTTTCGGTGCGACCTTCGAAAATCGTCGCGGGTCATGAGGCTGAAAAGACAAACGAGTTCCTTCAGGCTTTGGCTAAAGTTGTCCAGAAAAAGTTGGACACGAAAGATGCTGTATCCAAAGTACTCGCAGGGGAAAAGCCTCCGAAGGACGGGAAGAAAGACAGGAAAGACAAGGTAAGTCATTCCTGGATTGATCTATCAAGTAGCCCTCTCGGCTGATATGACGCGGAATTTTCCGATATGCTCACTTGCTTGTCGGAGGAAGGAGTCGTAGAAGCTGGGAAGCCTTGGAACTTGGAACCTACATTGGCCTACGGTTTGTTTCATTCGGATGCAGTCCGCGTCAAAGACGAAGGATTCGAAATCAAAGCACGACGAGAGTGTGAAACGCCCGAAAGAAAACAAGGAATCCAATGACGACACTCAGCGAGCGAACGGGACCACCTCAGGTGGCAAGGAAAACAAAGATAGGGAGCTCAAGGATAGAAGCGCTTCGAAAAATGGTCGCAAAAAGTCATCGGGATCAAGGAAGAAATCTCCACCGGTTGAAGCCGACATTGAGGAAACACCTGCTCCACTGACCGAAGAATCAATGGCCAAGCCACAGAAACTCGAGGCGAAGGTATTTAGACTTCCCTAGGACCTGCTTCTTTTTTTTTTTCATGGAGGTTAGGGAGAAATGCGTTTTCGCACGCACGGGCCGAGGTGATGTCAACGCTCTCGGGGACCGGCAGTGTAGGACTCGCACCTTGCGGTGAATGCCCACTGAAAACCCTTATCCTCTGAAACCCTCCTGGGGGAGGGGCGGAAAGGAGCTGGGACCGGCCTGGTGGTCAGCTCCCCCCTATTGATGCTGACGTCCCTGTTTCTTCACGCGAAAAACAGTGAAAAACGCGATTGTTCAGTTTGCTGAGGGCGATGCCCAGTGACGATGAGGCGAGGTGGCCGTTTTTGTCGAGAGAAGGCCAAAACGCGGCGATGACGACCCGATTTCTTCACGCACAAAACATTAAAAACGAGATTATTCATTGAGCGGCTGGCCGCGCGTAGGACCTGGTTCCTGGCGAGAAAATAACGCCGCTGCTCTCGGGGATATTCCCTATCAGGTTTCTTCCACGATCGAACATAATTTACTATCGACGCGCGTCGTTATCAATAAGATTATTCATGTCATGATCCAACGACAGTCCCGCATTTCAGAGTGATGACAACTCGATTGAACTCAAGAACGAACCTCGACCTTCTGACATAAGCAGTGCTCCAATCGAGGAACAAGCTCCCGCGCCACCTGCGGATCCCCCGCCGGAGCCCTCTGCCCCAGAAGAGCCCACGGAGACTGATCTGGCTGCCGCTCGCTCACTTTTGCGGTCCGCTCGCCCAGGGACCTCGAGACGACGACCGATGTCATCGATTAAAAAGTCCACTGGCGAACTCGGAGAAGAACCGACTGCAAGACCAACGACAGCGCGAGCTATAGCCAACGTTATTGTTGATATCACGAAGGAGAATGCCGACGAAGAAGACGACACTTTCGTGCAGGTGTGTTCATCGCGCCAGCCGGGGCCCTACGAGACGGAAGAATAATTATCAGTTCCTCTATACTCTTCGAAAGCCATAAGCAATGACCCTGAAAACACTTTTCCCTCATAATTTCAGATGGACGAAGAAGACGCACTGTCCGGACTCCACGACGGAGTTCCGAGCGCTCCCGATGAGGCCGTGAGCGAAGAGCAAGAAGGCATTTTGGTTAAGCAGCTCCTGGAGACCAAACAGCAACTGGAGAAAGGGGACAGTCCGGGGAGTCGTATTCAAAGTCCCCTGATAAAGGTTCGTCCCCGTTTCCCCAAAAAAGACCTTCGGGCTCGATCCTGACCGAAACTTTCTCAAGATGGGAATTTCGAGACTCTTTGGAGACTCCCTCTATGACGATCTTTTATGATTTTGAAGGAAAGTAATTACTTGGCGCGAGATATCAATGCTATCGAGCGTATCCGAGAGCACATCCAGGGAGTGTCTCGAGGGGCGCTGCCCATGGGTCGCCTCCTCGACCTCCTATACGAGGATTTGGACTCGATGATGTCGGAACTCAGCACCTGGAAGCAGGAGTACAAGAGGTGCAACAAGGAAATAGAGCGCGAGATGAGGTTCGTAGACCCGTAGATCTCTGTCTGAATCCCGCCAGAGCCCCCGATGAGGAGTTCGATGCTCCGATGTCGTTCTCGAAGCTCAGACGTGTCACTCGCTTTCTGAACAGGCTCGATGATTCCTCCCAGCAAGAGGAATTGGAGCGGCTTGACAAGGACATCACGAAGGAACGCGAGACCATTCATCTCCTGAAGTACGATATACAGCAAAGTAACCAGAAGTTGAATAAGATCCTGTCAGGATTCATGTCCAAGACCTGAGCCGTCAACGAAGGAAAATAACTCCGGCGAAGGAGCGGGGAGGACCTAGATATTCCGAGCTCCTCCCCTGGATCCACAGAGCGATCAGCCGGTGAATCCAATCCGGGGAGACTCTACAGAATAATAATTTGAGACTTGACTTCACAATTTAAAACTGCAAGCTTGACTTCGAGTGATGCCGTTAAATGCTCAGGGAACGAAATAAATTATTTTCCCTCGATTACGAAAGAGATTCTTTCCTGTGGGCGAATTCAATCCAAAGGGGACGGTCGTGGACATCCATGTAATCGTATCGGCCCCGAGCACTTCTCAGTAACGTACTATTGAGCATCGCTTCCCGAAAATACCTCCACGCTTCCAATATTATAGCTCGCACGGAGCTCCGAAGCGATCCACAGAGGCACTTCCCCATCGTAGCAGTCGGCGTACGCCCCAGATACGATATAAGAAACAGTTTTTAGAGGCGCTTCCCACCTCGCTGTGGTTTCGGTAGCTCGGTAGATATCGGGTTTCATCGTTCACTCCCTCCTCGTCTGCGTGTTGTGGGTTGGCTGGCTGCCTCGCGATGTGATTGTCCTCCTCGTCGTCGTCGTCGCCGCCGGAGTAGTACCTTGCTAAAAGCGAGCCACGAAATGTGATCCGACTTTTAACTCGACTCGGTCAAACGCGATAAACGAGCGGCGATATCATGATTGTCCCGCGGAAACGACACGACTGCGTGGGACCCTGAAAATCATTTGAGCTCGATATGCGGTGTGTGTATACCTCTGTGGGAACGTTGGACTCTGAAACGATTTCAAATCCTGCGAATCCATCCTTCGATTTCTCGCGCTGTGATGACGATTCCCGATCTTCCCCAAAATTACTCCGGGAGACAGCTATGGCGAACGTTCTCAGCGGGCGCAGGGGACCGAATGTATGTTCTGATGAACTCGATGGAGAGATGTGATCAGCAATAGGCTTTGGAAAAACCTTACCATCAAACTTTCTTGGAATCGCTACGAGCGAGCTCTGAACGCGTATTCGTACCACGCTTTTTCCCAAACAGGGTCTGATCGCATAGTTCATTATCCGTGTGACGAGGCTCCAAAGCTGAACACATCGATGATGTTGCCCGTCGCCGCAGCGGGTTTTGCCGATGTTCAAAATTAGTCGCCTTCCCCCGCGACGAGCGGAAATGGTTCCCCTGATTCCTCCGGCGTGGCGGCCGAGCCAGCGGACGGGCAGGAAGTTCTCTTGCGAGTCCCCCTTCCGTTCGTTGCCACCGACGCCTAGTTATCGAGCTTGTGTGTGCCCCCAACACACAAAAGAAGATGACTGATCAGCCGACGACCTAACTGGCTTGCCGGCTAGCGACGATCCGAGCGAGTTAGCTTCCCTGGCTGCAGCGAAAGAAGGCTCACGTTCACTTCATCTTACGGCTGATTGACGCTGTACAAAAAAGCTGCGAGCCCACCTCGCCGAGCCGCGCTCGATTTCATTCATGATGGCATGACACACCGTCCGTGTGCTGACTCGGTTGACTTTCATCCATAGACAATGGCGCTTGCCTTAATTGGCAACCCTGAATGTGGATGGAGATAACGGCGCTCTATCACAATAATTATTACGGGGGAAGAATCTCGATCTTTCATTTTTTCCCTTCGAATTTGCCCGAGTCGTTCTAGAGAAAGGCGTGTTCCTTCGATTCGAAGGCGAACGTCGTTGTGATGCAGGGACATCACTTGTTAGAGGAGGTCGAGCCGCGATTCTTCACGGATTCTCGTGACCCCTGGGCTTGCTAATGCGGAGTAAAGCCAGACTCGGAGCTGCTCCGATTCGTTCCACCTTGTCATACAGCACGGATCGACTCTTCGCGAGGCGTGAACATCTCATTTGTGACCCATTGAAAAAGCTGCTTTCCGAGTGGAGGGAGAGAGCACAAGAGGGGTTCTCTGACATTATGATGTCGGCGTATCGGGGCGAGTTCCATCTGACACGGAAAGTTTTTGTTGTCTCGGTCATTTCGGCTCTGAATCCGCGATGTATCCCGCGTCCTAGCGGGAAATCTCCCGCTAGGACGATGAGCTTTTTTTCCCGAGCCTGAGCGGGAAGAAGCTCCGATGACGACACGAGTGTGGATTGGAAGGGGACAGCTTCGCAAAAGGTTTCCTGTCATCATATCGTCTTGATATCGATGAGCATCGAATCCGGCAAACAAATGCTCGCTCCAACAATTGTCGGGGCGGGGGGAACGATAGGAGGAGTCGGGGGTTTTGGAGATTTTCTATTTCGGTTCATTACACAGCACATTGTCGCACGCTCACCCTCGAGCCCGCCTCGTCCCATCAGCGATGACGGCGACATAAATCCACTCACGAGCAACCTGATATGAGCAGGAGGATATGATTCTCTCTTCCGCATTGATGGCGAACATTGCATCGAACCGTGTATCCGATTAGAAACAAATAAGCTCCGATTGATGATTGCAGCCGCCATCGTCAGCATCCTCACACACCCCCCGCACGGTCGCCAGACGAAATATTGTACGTTCCTGCCCCGCTGCGAAACCCTGCTCAGGTAACCCGGTGAACCTACTATTGCACGTACCTACTTCGAATCTGGGGCTTTTTATTCCAACTACTGCATCGACGCACGAACATCGAATTGAGTTCGGACGTCGGAGTCGGAGTATTGTCCGGAACCGCGTTTTGTCACATGACAACGACCTCAAATGCTAAGCGGGACGAAACAAGCGCCTCGCACGAGCCAAATACAGCCATGCCAGTGTGTCCAACGAAGGATATCGCTGATGCTCCGATGTTGTCCGATGTTGTGACTCGAACGTCTCGCTTCACTGCTCCAATTGAAATTGTCAAATCCCAAGCGAATTTGAGCTTTACCCTCGCATCAACAGAACGTCTTCCCTTACATATGAAAATCTCGGTCACGCTTGCCTCGATGCCATGCTTTGAATTCCGAATTATGCGAAGCTTCGAAAAACCTTCGGATTTTAAAATCAGTGATCTTTCAGAAGGTTCAACCCCAGGAGCGCTTCAAGGCTCGAGAACGGGATTTTACGAAGAGGAGCATCTCATGGGCCCGAACGCAAGCAGGTCTCTCGTCGTAGGCGACACAGTAGGAGTGGAGGAGTTCGAAGTTATAAATATTCATTTGCGACTCCCACTAGCTTGGCACTGGCGTGGTCTCTACTCTATCCCAGTCACTTTCTTCGTCCACTACAGATCCTGCTCCACCCACACCCTCCTCCTTCTCCCTTTAATCCCCCCTTCCCCCGGTCTGTAAGTTCATGGAACCGGATGTCAACAGGAAGGGGGGAACGCGCCAACTTTTCAAATGAGGCGCCGGTTCCGCTTTTGGCCTGACGAAAGAGCTGTCTGATGTAGAAGAAACTCATATATGTTCTGTAGGCTTCGGGCTCCGACCAGCGAGAGCATGCGCTCATTTGGGCGCATGTCCCGCTCCAGCCGTCGCCCCTTGCTGCCTTCACCTTTCCAACCGTGGAGCGAAGAGATCGAGTTGAATAATAATTATCCCGTCCGGAGCTTTAGACCAGATCCCCGGGAGCTTGCAGCCGCGCCGCATCTCCGGTATAAGCATCCAGAGTTAGCTCCAACAGTCGGCTCTGAACCGAACGTGGATACCTGGATGCTCGTACCTCCTTGGCTCCTCTTGAGCGAGGACCCGTTCCGGCCCCGCTATACCGGAAGCGCCTCGAGGAAAGGAAAACTAAGGCCAGGGACCACGGAAAAAAGACACATGCCAGCTTCTCTCGTTCGGGGAATAGCCGCAGCATGTCCTCAGCGTCGAGACTCGTAATAAATCCGAAGGAACCTCAGACCCTGTCGGGGAACAGGTGGCGAGGATGCTGGTGCTCTGTTCGGAAATCGTGCGTTTTCTCAGGGGAACCTCGGTCTTTGTCAGACCCCAAATCGAGTCAAGAATCGGGAATGGAGTCTCTGGTATTGGGGTAGAGAATAGGTTAAGAGGTGAATTTCTCCCACCTGGAGAGGAATGAATTCATCCATGGGTTTTTCCGGGGACTTGAATCTCGGATCCTCTTCTAGTTCCTTGGAGTTGTCCCTGGAAACCTCCACGGGGCAGTGATGATTCACCGCGTGTCACGCAAATACTCACCGTCTGCCGTTCATAAACCGAAGGAGACAGATCCTAAGAATCCCTCCGGATGTCTGAGAGTCGGAGCGGAAGTGACGTCAGCCTTACACGATGCCTTTCTCTCGGGTGACATCTCCGCTGAGGCGGCTTTCAGCCCCGGCGAGAGGAGCAGCGAACGACCAACAACATAATGCAGCTTCGAATGGCCCCCGATCTGCAGCATTTATCCCTCCGAGCAAAATGGATTTTTGTAATCTGAGATGCCCGGGACGGATCATCAGATTCGAGGCAGCAAACCTTCTCACCGCAGTCGTCCTTTACTTCCCGCTCGACGAGGTGCCGGGGATGTGGTCTCCGAACAAAACCGCGGCGACAGCTCCCTGTTCCGTGGCTCGACATTCCAACGAATCTGCCTCCACTATCCCTCGCCTGAGATTCAGAAGTTTTAAAATGTTCGGAGGAATTGTCGCGATCAGGAGAGACCGAGCCTCTTGAGGAACGATGCGAGCCGGTGCGCATAATGAGAATCAGACGGTTCTCAGAGGGAGAAATTTCGCATTTCAAGGGGAAGTCGAGCGTTTTGTTCCACGACCAATCCGTGCTGGGTCCCTGCACCTGATCATCTTGACAAAAGTCAAAAAGCCTCCGAATACAGCGAATTGAAGTGCCCTTGAAGGCGGAAGGCGAGTGGACGATGAGTCGAGGAGCGAATCAACCTGCTCGCTTTGCGAGCGGCTCTGGGGAAATCAGATTCGATGAGTGGCGGTGGGCCTTTGTTTGCCGTCGTCAAGAGCTGGGCCGGCCCGGAATTTCGGTCAGCTCTTTCGTTTCGATTGCAGCTCATCTTGGCCACGAAGGCAGGGACCGAATAATGGGGTTCGCGG